TGCCTTACTTAATTTAAATACAACCATTTAAACAAAGTGATTGCGCGTTGATCCAATTGATAATGCATGCATGCAATTATTTCCAAGATTTGTTTTATGACCCGTTCTTTACTATTGTCACTTTAACTTAACATATTCTTAAATTGCCACTTTATGAAATTTGGAGCAGGTCTAGCAGAAATCGGTGAAGCACATTTATTGAGTGAGTTTCTCCATGCGGCAGTATCAGAAGCGAACTTTCCACACATCAATCAACTGTTGAAAGATCGGAAATGAACAAACCTTAACCTGTACTACAGGTTTCCATGTAGACGCTAGAAGGGCTTTTGTTTTATTCGCATCAGTGATTGACTCGCACGAATTGTCTGAAAAGTCGTAAGGAAGTTAGGGATTGCTATTTGCATGGCATTGTAATTTCGTGTTAAGAAGTGTTTCTGAAAGTTTCATGGTACATTAATTTTTATAATCGATAAAATATTTTTCCAAGTAATTTAATGTATTGCAACAATACTTGTTAAAAATTTAAATGTTGTACAGATATAACACATTTTAAAAATTTATGCTTAAAGGATAATGATAACCTTGAAACATAAAATTTTCGAAACAGAAAGGCATATGTGAAAATAGAAAAACTCAAAACATTCGGTCAAATTTTTGCATCCAGCAATCAAAACCGTATACACTAAAACAAGTATTTCTAATGGTAAAAGGACATTCTGCTTAGATTAAAATATTCTTCTTTAGGATGAGAGTTATTCGGGTATTTTTGAATCTTGTTAGCCTTTCTGAATATCCCTGTATCAGATGCTATAGTCAACTCTTTGTATTTCTTTAAATAAAGTGTGGTGGTGGAAATAAGATGAGAGTTTTTCTTATGTTTTAACAAACTAGAATCTACTCTGCGTTTTATTAATGCAATTTACAGTAAAATTTATAAAGTAGACAATAATTGTCTTGAATTTTTGGTCGATCTTATACTTTCTCTTTTCGTTATCGTTGCTTTGAAGATGTACTTGATTTACATTTTTGCTATGATTTTTAAATTTATAATTAAGGTATAATTTCAATGTCTCAAGGAGCATAACGATTATCTTATACAAAAATGTCTTCTCTTCTTCTTCTTTTTTTTGAAAATCTTTCAATCTGTTTAATTTTCAAGCGGCCTCTGGTTAATTTCCTGGGAGGTAGATGGCCAACTATCCCATTATCTTTTAGGTGGTCTTCCGGCAGGTCTTGAACCAAGAGGGTTGTTTTGTAGGGCAATTTTTTTGGAGTCTACTCTCATCCATTCGTCTTTTATGATTGTACCACATCCTCTTACGCTGCCTTCCCCATCTTACAATATCTTGAATTTTACGCTGCTCTCTAACGTTTGTATTTCTCACCCTGTCTCTTCTTGTTTTACCCGCTATCGTTCTTAGGGTTTTCATTTCAGCAACCCTTAGCATCGGTTTCGTTTTGTTAGTATTTTCGTTGATGGAAGTGCTAAAGAAAACAGGGATTGATGGTAGAGACTTTAATCATAATAAAAATTATAGCTAATCTGTATTGGAATCAATCAGCAGTACTCCGAATAGATGAAGAATATACAGATAAGGTCAAAATCTTAAGGGGAGTGAGACAGGGGTGCATAATTTCACCACTGATATTCAATCTGTACTCGGAACACATTTTTGAATAAGCCCTAAAAGATATTGATGAAGACATCTCAATAAATGGAGTCAAGCTCAATAACCTGCGTTATGAAGATGATACAATAGTGTTTTCCAATACCATAGAAGGGCTACAAAACTTAATAAACAGACTAATAGAAACAAGTAAAACATATGGACTGAATATAAACACCAGCAAAACCAAGCTAATAATTATCAGCAAGCAAAACATAACTGAAGCAAATCTGTATGTGAACCAAATGAGAATTGAACGTGTCTCACAATACAATTACTTGAAAACTATAATCAATGAGTTGTGGGACAATACCCAAGAGATTAAATGTCGCATCGGAAAGGCCAAAAGTGCATTCTTGACTATGAGCTCTGTATTCAAAAGCCATGACCCCACCCTGAAAACAAAAATAAGGCTCGTTAAATGTTACGTGTCTCAGTGCTTCTGTATGAAGTAGAAACGTGGAATTTGAAGGCGAAAACCATATCAAAACTTCAGGCTTTTGAATTATGGTTGTACAGAAGAATCCTGAAGATACCATGGACAGAGAAAGTCACCAATGATGAAGTACTGCGGAGGATGAACATAACCGCGGATTTGGTCAACATTGTGAAGAGCCGTAAGCTGGAGTACTTGGGATATATAATGAGAAATCAAGGCAGATACGAGCTACTCCAATGCATTTTGCAGGGTAAAATTGAAGGAAAAAGAGCCCCAGGACGAAGAAGAATATCCTGGCTTGCTAACCTGAGAGCATGGTATAGAAAGACCTCAACACAGCTATTTTGTATAGCAACCAATAAAATCATGATAGCCAGAATGATCGCTAACGTTCGAAACGGACAGGCACACTAAGAAGAAGAAGGTATTTTCGTGCACTTAAATGCCATATGTCATGATCGGTCGTACGCAAGTCTTGTAGATTCTACTTTTACTATCTGTGCGCATATACGGTTTTTGACCAGAATATCTTCCGAAGACATTCCTACACTGCGGATGCTTTATTTATGCCCAGATATCTGAATATATACCCATTAACCTGTTTTATGGGGTTGTTCTCAACCACTAACTTACATCTGAGCGGATCTTTTGCTATTATCATACAAATAGTTTTGTTGATAGAAATGGTCATTTTTAGTTGGCTGCTTATTTGAAAGAACTGAAAGAACTGTCTCTGAAAATCATCTTCTGATTCGGCAATCATTGCTGTATCATCTGCGTAACACACCATACCAATTCTTTTGTTGCCCATTGTATATCCGAGATGTTACTTTGTTTATAATTTTGCACCTGAGTACGTTGACATGAAGGAGCTTAAACTTTCGCCATTACTAATTCCTCCCGGTGGTGTAATATTTTCAGTGAATTGGTCTCCTGCTCTAATTTTTCTTAAATTGTTGTTATTTAGGTTACGGACTATCTTATTTAGTTATGTTATTCGGTGTTTTATTTTTCATTAATATATTTAGAATGTCTTTCAGGCGAACCCTGTCAAACGCATTCGTCAGATCAATGAAGCTAATATACGCTGGCATGCCGAACTCTATAGCTTTTTATTTTATTTGTTTTATTATAAATACTGCATATGTTATAGACCGCCCTCTAGTAAAACCTTAAAACCTGTGATTTGCCTTTCCAATTTGTCCTTAAGAATACCCGTAAAAAGTTTCATCATTGTTTTTAAGAGGATTATTCCTCTGTTGAGTAAGTTTTTTGCCATTTTTTAAATATGGGGATTGTGATGCTCTTCTGCCATTTCTCTGGTGTTTCTGCGTCGTTTAAGATTTTGTTAAATATGTTTGACAGTTTACTTGCCTCCATGTTTTAAGAATTCATTGGGTATACCATCTGTTCTAGGTGATTTTCTGTTTTTTAGCTTCTTGATCTTTGCTTCAACCTCTACCTCTTTGATTTTAGCACTTATATCAGCTTCGTATTTGTTTATATTCAGCGTTTCTTCAGCATCATATAGCTTTTTTAAATGCTGTTGCCATGTCTCTGTAGGTACTTCTTTGGTCTGCACGAACTCGTTAACTGATTTTATTCTGTTCCGTAGCATCTTCCATACTTTCTTTTGGGCACTATGAAGGTCGTAGTGTCGTAGTCCATGTCGCTGATGAATTTAGCCTCATGTTTTTTTTAATTGATTTTATTTTTGCGTTTAATTCGTTTTTTACTTGGAGATATTCTGCGAGAGCTTCTTCCAATTGTTTGCTTATATATCTCATTTACTACTACTAACTAAAATAAGGTTGTGATCGGTCCTCAGGTTAGCAGATGTTAGTGCTCTGACATCAAGTACTTGCGAAGGTATTTTCACTCGATTCGTGATTATAAAATCTATTATTGATCGCTGGCTTCGATTATTGTTAAAAATGTATTTATGCTGGTCTTTATGAGGAAAGTATGTGTTGTTGATTCTCATTTCTAGTGCAAAAGTCTATTACTGCTTCGCCGTTTTTATTAGTTAATACAAAAATATAAAATAAGAAAATAGTATTGGTATAAAATGATACAAAAAAATTTAATAAAAGATGAAAATATCGTAATGGATTTTAATTTCTATCGGAACGTATTCGGTCTTATCAGACCATCATCAGTAAATACCTGAAAGTAAGTACACATTAATATATAGAATAGAAAGAGTTATTTTGATTGTTGATCTATAAAAGCATGTGTCAAGTACTTATTTAGCATTAGAAAATAGCCACTTAAAAGGTGTAATACCTTTGAAGTAATACATAAACTGGTTACAATACTGCGGAAATAATTTTTTAGGAAAGTTAAGTGAGAGAACATGTTAATCAACATCGAAGGTGACAGGTCGTTCAGATGTTAGACAGCCTTAAAGAAGCCAAAGGGGTACGTTAAACTCTGTGTGAACCGAGGTTTATGTAAAACTTAACTATCGAAATAAATAAAACAAATACGTGATCTTTTATAAATATTTAAGCCACGAATTTATAATAGATCAAGATTACTACTTAACCTGTGTAATTAAAAGAATAAAAAAATAAGATTAGTCTGGATGGCTTAAGGTAAACTGATAAATAGATTTTGAAATATAATTTTAAGAGCCAGAATGAGAATAACGGACGTTGTAGACCAAAGAAAACCCACGAACTCAAGCTGGATTGGACACGTGGTTAAAATGAGTGTCACTAGGTAGGCTAAAGGCATAATAAAGTGTCGTCTTAGATTTTAGATATACAAAGGTATGGATTCCCTTTTTTGTTTATCATTAAAGAGTTACATTAAACTGACAGTGTTTGCTGGTTGGCTGTCTGCTAGTTGAGTATCTGGCATTTCAGGTCCTGATGCTTCTAAGTTTGCTGCTAAAAAGTGTCTATAACTTCAACGGCTGGTACTTGAATGCTTGCTGCTGGAGTATTTACTGATTGAGAGTCCGCAAATTCAGTGCCTGCTACCTGGCTTACATTGGTTGAATTTGACAAGGAACGACGACCTTCAAAAATTTGTAGGTCGTCTTTCAGTTCTGGTGAAAGGTCAACGCTTAGTAATGATGTACCAGGCTTATTATCATCGTTATCGGTAGCTATAACATAGTTTGCAGTATCATAACTAACAAATGCAGCATTTTTTTTTCTAAAAGATATCTTTCTAAAAATTCTGAAAAAAGGAAACATTATTATAGCTACAATATGAACTTTATTGTTTAGATACGCTATTTTTTATTATTTAATATCAAATTACCTGAGTTTGGCACTTGATCTGGTGCATTAGGCTCTGATTTTATTTTCTTTGCAAGGACCACAATTCTGCATGTCCTTTTTGCATGTTCGATGAACTCGATGAACTTTTTGTATGTTATGGAACACCTGTTTACGGCAGCAAAAGTAATATTAAATAAAAACTAGGAGGCATAACACACAGTCATAAACAACAAAATAACAGTCAATAAATTTAAAAGAGCGTCACAATTTAAAAAAATGTCAGTCGATTTAAAGATCGTATGTACAAGTTTCGCAAAACAGTCATATTCCAAAAAAAGTCATATTTAAAGAATACACTTACATATTTTAAAAAAACTGGCTCAACTCAATGTGTAAGGTTACTACGCAAAACGCAAAAGTAGTTTCTTCGTTTACATCTTCGAAAAAAGTGTCAGAATATAAAAATAACAGTATTTTACTCATTGCAATAATCAGATAAAACTAATAATTTATACAAAAACTGTCAAAATTCTAAATGTGACTCATTTTAGGATAAAGCACTACGTGTAGACTGTTATAAAGTCAAAAGTTACACTGTAGAGGAATGCGTGCTGAGCTAACCTGTAAAAAACTTGGTAAATAGTTCAGATATAAGAGTAATACTTTTATGGAAAAAAGTACGACTTATTTTAATACCTATAACAATGTTCATCTCAATAATGGCGATTTTAGAGTTGTTCACTATTCACGTACTGTAGTGATCGTGCCGTGAATAGTGAACAGTGTAGTAGTGTCTGGGGGTTCGGGAGACTCAGACCTCGGAAGCCCTGAGGAAGGCATCAGAGAGGATGCTGAAAGCTTGGCAAAATGGATTACGACGCGGTTCAACCCGGAAGACTGGTGAGTTTAATATTAATTTTAGTAATAATATTAATCTTAGCTCTAGGTTTTATATATATATATATATATATATATATATATATATATATATATATATATATATCTTCTTCTTCAAGTGCCGTCTCCATCAATGGAGGTTAGCGGTTATGGCGGCAAACGTATTGAAACCTCAATACTCGGGGAGTATTGGATTTTTGGAAGTGTCGAACTTACAAAGTTCAGAAGAACTGGAAGAGAAGTAATGAAAATACTAAAAATATGGCTAAGCTCAGAGGAACAAATTTAAATGGCCAAAGAGACATTAAATATTAAGTGAGTGTTCGGGCTATATCCAATACTCGGGGAGTATTGGATTTTTGGAAGTGTAGAACTTACAAAGTTCAGAAGAACTGGAAGAGAAGTAATGAAAATACTAAAAATATGGCTAAGCTCAGAGGAACAAATTTAAATGGCCAAAGAGACATTAAATCTCAAGTGAGTGTTCGGGCTAGCTTCAATGCACTGGATTGTGGCTTTAAAGTTATAAACAGATAGCAAGGATACTGAGCTAATGACACAAGAAATGAAATGAGACCTGGTAATATCAAATGTGATACAACTAAAGAAGGTCACTGGGAATAAATTTATAGAAAGAGAACAATAAGAAGAGAAAAAGAAGGGCGCTAACTCAACGATAGTTGAGATTTTGAAGTAACAAATGACCGGAAACAAATGATACTAGAGATAATAACCTGAAATCCAAAAATACTAAATATTAATCTTGTCTTGCTATATTATATACTGGTTAGTAGAACTGAAATAAAACTCAAAATAGTAACAATATATATATATTTATAAAAATGTGTAAATAGATATATATGTATGAACAATTTACATATAAAGCAAAACTAAATAACAGTGGTAGTGGGTGTGTAAAGATACAATAGGACCAAATAGCATCTCAACAAGCGAATAATCACTACCACTGGCCAAATAAAGTATAAAATATTAGTAACACCAAGAATAGTCCATATGGTAGCCAAAGTCTTAACACCAAAGCTTAGTAATTAAACTTGATAAATCTGTTACAATTATATTAGATATATTACATCCAAAAAAGTGAGTCTTCAATACTCTTTATATAATGTTTAAAACCCTGTTCCCTTCCCCAAAATCAAAATTCTATTGTATCAAAATGTATTGTATTAAAAAATATATTATATAAAAAAAAGTGAGTTTGGTCAGAACTCAGCGCAGACACGCCAACCAGTGAAATTTTTTCAATTTTTTTCAAAAAAGATATATATATATATATATATATATATATATATATATATATATATATATATATATATATAAATATATATAACAAAAAAATCTTTTAATAAAATCTGTGGTTATAATGGTACAGGCAATTCCAATTGCCAACTTTAAAAACATATTAATTTTACTGTCAGATTGCGTCGGCTTGGACTTATGGATAATATTTATATCTTGAGATATGTCTGCCAGTTTGTAAAATCATAAATCAAGCAGGGCTTTGAAAACTTGAAGCACAATAGAAACTCTTGTCGATAAAGTTCTTTTTTCGAGGTTGTTATTGAAACATTTTAATAAACTGAACCCAGAAAAAATCCCGGCTTCTTTCTTAATGATCTGATGGAGTTCTTGAAGTCTGCGTTGTATAATTTAAAACGAAAATAAAATAAGTAAAGAATGGTTCAGAAAGGAGCAGTCACTTTTAAACTGTTTTTTACTCTGACTTTACTTTAACTTTACTGAAAAGAGTAATTTTAAATTGATAAATTCTGCTTTCTTTTAAAAACTTAAACATTTGCTAATTAAGGAACTAAACATTTTAAATACATAGAAATCATTAGAAAAAAATTATTTCCAAAATAAATGGATCATAACCTAAACATTTTTTAGATTGCAACAAACGGTAATGCCAATTTTAGTACAATGTTATCAACATATTTACGTCATATATTTTTATTGAGACGGTTACAGTTTAACGTAAAATTACTATGGACACAGTACCTATATCCAAAATAATCAGTACGCTCACTCGAGTGGCGAAACTTTATTGTCTTTATTCCATTTTGGCTCATACCAAATTCGTTTCCCACGCGCTTATAAATGACAGCGTGTGTATTACTACACAACATAAATTTGATAAACTGCTCAAATAGAAAAATTCATTATGACTCGGCGATCTAATATTAAATTAAATTTTAGGAATGACGAAAACTTTTTTACATTTAGCGTTAACGAAGCTCTTGACAATTTATCGTTACTTTCCCAAATACTATTATTATTGGTGTTTCAAAATGTATTTTAGGATTTGTATACTGAATATTGGAATTATAAGTAGATAAAATATATACTTTTATTAATTTGAATTTAGATATTTAAGTAAATCACTGCAATTAGTTATAAGTACTATCCAATTTCCTTTAACTGGTATCACAGCGAAAGTTGAAAACAGCAACAATTTTAGTCGGATTTTAAATCTGTTTAAAAGATGTCATCTTCCAGTCAGCTACCACAAAATGCATTATACTTATATGCAGTTAGTCAACTACGTAGTATATAAATCCCAAACAGAGATTAAGCTATTCTATTTAACACTCTAGAGAGTGTACAATTAATGACTTGAAGGATTGAGTCAGCATATAGAACCAAAAAATATAATTTTCGCATCTCGTCTATCAAATTGTAGAATATGCATATATCTATCATTTAAAACACTAGTAGATATATTTATAGCAGTGACAAAGAAGATAATAGTAAATAGAAATATATTAGAAGCGAGAATATTAAACCCATTAACGCCCGAATTATTTTTTTTTTTTAATTTTTGCGTAATTCTTATATATTTTAATAATGTTAATTAAAACTGCCTAAAAATATTTTTTTATTCAAAATTTATATACAGGGGTTAAAGAAAAATGCTGATAACATATGGTATCCGTGGGCGTTTAGGGCAATTTTATTGCAGAAATTAAAACTTAAATTACATGGTATTAAACAAAAATTACAACATATTTTATAACTCATTTTGTAAAAATGCTGCAAAACAATTAACACATAATCCTACGTTACATTTTTGGCACATTGTTCGACCAAAAGTTACAATCTGTACCTGCACAGCGTCTTCTTGAACAAGAAACTACGAAATGATTTGTACCATCAAACCGTACATCTGGAATTTAAATAAGCCTGTACTATTTCTCGTCTAAAATCTAGATTCGATACTTTATGATTTTTTCTATATAAATACCATGCGTTTTGTATAGCTACATCCAAAAGCCAGGTTAAAATCAACCAGTACCATTTTTTTCCTCGAATGCCAATTCGGTAAGCAGCTACTCCTTGGTCCATAAGATCAGTTCCTCCCCATATTATATTGTACGCTTCAATACATTGAGGACGAGGCACCGATATGTACCTTTTTTCTTTCTGAGAATATCTTCGAACCTGTCCTAATGGTTGGACACCAGCATTTGTAGACCCCATTGTCACTACTGAGTTATCCATCCAACGAACTGTTGGACGGATAATCACTTGTTCATATTCCCCTCGATCCTTTTTTTGAAATATATTTTTGCCAGTCAAAGTACATGATCGGGGTATACGATTTTCTCGTATCGTGCCTACCGTTCCATATCCTAGATTACGAAGGTAGGAAAACAAGTTTAGGCCGGTAAACTAGTTATCTGTATGTAAAACATATGGTAAATTCGGTTCTTTTAGCTCTTGTAACATAAAAATCAACGGTGTTGATGCTTTTCCATACAATTTTTCATACTCAACATCACTATGTGGATTCTTTCCCTGATATAAGTCGAAGTTAATGTGATAGCCATCGTTTGAATATAGACACCACATTTTGTAGCCAAATCTTATAGGTTTTCCACGAATGTATTGTTTGTATCCGTGACGTCCGTAGTATTTTACCATAGACTCGTCATAAGACAAATTCTGTGCTGGTTGAAAAGGATGTAAACATCTTTCTTTGACCATATTCATAAGCGCTCGTAACTTCTAAGCTTTATCATCTCGATTGTTCTGCGAATTGTCGGCAATATGAA